TATAGATGTATGTCATTAATAATTGCTTTTCTATTAAAAAGTGCTGCTTTTCCATAACTTTGCTGCCATCTATGATTGTTTGACAATACTAAGGAGATTAAAGCTTTTTCTGTCCGACAGGCGGTACCCTAATAAGAGACACGGTGAACTTGTTACAGATAAAGTGATGTATATGTACAATGTGTAGCTACACCATAATTTGGTCACAGTACTGGAAATTCCTTAATCTTAAAGGTTTGAAGTGAGTTTTAAGCCAAGTAAGTTTGTAGCCATTAAGTCAGCATTTATTGGCTGAGTCATTGGCTCTTTATAAACAATACAGGAACCATTTGATGAATATCTTATAAATAATGCTGTGAGTGACTTGTTGGAATCCTGCAATACCACAAAAATAAACCTCATTAATGGCTTATTAGTAATAAAGCACATAAGCTTGTTTATATATAATGTGTGCAGTTATGTAATATGTATGACCATCCATTTAGAGAAATCATGATGAACAATTTTGAAACTCTGTAGCTAGATGTTAGAGTGCTTCTATAGTTTGGATATGAAATATCCGTCAGAGGCCCATGTGTTTGTTACAGGCTACTCCCCAGTGAAGTGCTATTGAGAGGTGGTGGAAACTGTGAGGTGGTGCCTGATGGGAGGTCCTCAGGTCACTGGGTGCCTGCACTTAGAGAGACAATGGGACCCCTGTCCATTCTTCCTCTCCATCAAGTGAGTGGTTTTTCACTGCCGCATGGTCCTGCCATGAAGTGCTGTCTCACCATAGGTTCAATCCACAGAGCAGACCAGTTCCGGACTGAAATCTCTAAACCTTTGTAGAGCACTGTGGTTGTCAGGTTTCTGTTACTACAGTGATACCTGACATAGTTTATAAAGAAAGGGCGATGCTGGCTCCTAGTTTTAGAGGTTTCTTTGATTGTAGAACAGGGTGAAAGATCTGAATCAAGATTCATGCTTCTGCATTCTTCTCCAGATTTTCCAGCACCATTTCTTCAAGAGTATTCATATAATAAACTAAAGCAGACAAAGGAGGAGGAGGGAGGGAAAAGAAAGAAGAAAGAAAGGAAAGGAAAATAAAAAGAAAAATGGACACTAAAGGACAATTCTCATGAAGTCTCCAAAGGTTGTGATGATGACAGTAGAGAAAATTATAGAGGATTTTTGTATTGTCATGAGCAGAATATTAGAAATGTGAACATTAAGAATGCTTCTGTTTAGGCCTTAGAAATGAGGAACATGTCATTGGCTACTAGAGGTAAGGTAATCCTTGTTACAAGTGGCAGAAAACCTAGCCAAATTCAGTGTTCTGTTGGGTAGAAAGTAGAACTTAATAAATAATGAAATGCCTAGGAATCAATCTAACAAAAGAATTAAAAGAACTTTACTGTGAAAACTACAGAACTCTGAAAAGAGAGATCGAAGAGGATGTCGGAAAATGGAAACACATCCTTTGCCCCTCAGTAGGAAGAACCAATATAATGAAAATGGCCATACTTCCAAAATTGCTATAGATGCAATGCAATTGAAATTCCAACAGCATATTTCACAGAACTTGAAAAAACAATCGAAGATTCATTTGGAACAAGAAGAGACCTAGAATAGCAAAAGCAATTCTAGGGAGCAAAGACAAGGTGGGGGGGGTCTCACAATCCCCAACTTGAAACTATACTCCAAACTACTGTGATTAAAAACAGCATGGTACTGGCAGAGAAACAGACCTGGACCAGTGGAACAGATGAGAAGATGCAGGAAATCTCTAAATATACTCAGCCACCTCATCTTTGATAAAGGAGCCAAATGCCCTCACTGGAGGAAAGGTAGCCTTTTTAATAAATGGTGCTGGAAAAATTTGGAATTCAACTTGCCAAAGATTAAAGCTAGACCTATATCTCTCACCATGAACTAAACTAAAATTGAAATGTATCAAAGATCTAAATATTAAAACAATAAACTGGCTGGAAGAGAGGTCAGGCAGAACTCTTGAAGACATTGGTGTAGGAAAAGATTTCATAAAACCTCAGTTGCACATGAACTAGCATAAAGTTATATATATATATATATAGACTGGTACTACCACTGTGGAAATCAGTATGGACATTCCTCAAAAAAACCAGGATTGGAGGTCCCATTTGACCCAGTTATTCCCCTGCTGGGTATCTTCCCCAAAGAATTAAAAGAGTCATACCACAGTGATATATACACACCCATGTTTATAGCGGCACAGTTTTTAATAGCTAAAACTTGGAAATATATATATATATAGACTGGTACTACCACTGTGGAAATCAGTATGGACATTCCTCAAAAAAACCAGGATTGGAGGTCCCATTTGACCCAGTTATTCCCCTGCTGGGTATCTTCCCCAAAGAATTAAAAGAGTCATACCACAGTGATATATACACACCCATGTTTATAGCGGCACAGTTTTTAATAGCTAAAACTTGGAAACAGCCCAATTTTCCATCAACTGGAGATTGGATAAAGAAGGTGTGGTTTTTCTACAAAATGGAGTACTGCTCAGCCATAAAGAATGAGAAACTAGAGACATTTGTTGCTAAATGGATGCACATAGAGGCCATACTCTTAAATGAAATAAATAGGATAGGCCAGGGATTTGGATCAGTGGTTCCACTGCCTGCCTTGCAAGCACAAGGGCCTAAGTTTGATCCCTGGTACAAAAGAAAAGAAAAGAAAGAAAGAGGACACGTGCAAATACCAAATAGTTTTTCTGGTGTGAAAGTACAAATGAAGATCAAAGTGTCTAATAGATAATGTGAAATAGGAAGAAAAAGTCCAAAGGACAAGTGGAAGGGGTAGGGGAAAGGAAAAAAATATGAGAAAAGGAAAAAATGGAAACAAAGTCTTTTTAAGTAGGGAGGGGTAGAGGGGTTGAAAGGTCAGGGGAATGGGGAAAAAAATAACCAAGATATAATACGTAAAGGTAGAAATTCCCAATGATAAATATCATCATGCTGTATACCTAAAATATACCAATAAACTTAATGAATTAAATAAATAACTTGAATATTCAGCTGGAAATTTCCAAGCAGAATATGTAAGGTGTGGTGTGAGTTTTTTGCCTCTTAGAGTGAAACAAAAGAAGAAATTGAGGAAGGAATTGTTCAGCAAAAAGAAACCAGAATGATTATTTTACAAATATATAGCATCTCCATACCCATGTTGTAAAAGATGCCAAGGCAAGTTTTGGAAAAGCCACAGAGGGTGGCTGCTGCCGAGCATACACAGCCAACTGTTTCAGCAGAGTCTAGGGTGCAGGTCTTCCAGGGAGAGTCTGTGGAGCACCCTCATATCTAATGATGTCGATGCCTTTGATATTCATGGAAGGCTGACAGTTTTTTTAGGGACTGCCATGTTAGCAGAAACACTGCCAACTTGTACCAAAGGAGAGGGAGACTGGATGCAATGAAGAAGGTTGTGGGACTATTGCCAGGGGCCCAAAGGATGAATGTGATGGAGCCTGTGAGGACCTGGATGCTGCCTTGTTGGAGCCTCTCCTGGCACAGAGGACATGGAGCCCACACATTACTCTCTGTCCTTGAACAACCCAGTGGAATTTGCCTTTTGGGTTGTGAGCTTTTGACACTTCTATTCCTTCCATTTTCTCTCTTTTGGAGTGTTTATCTGGTACTTGTCCCACCACTGTATTTTGTATTTTGAAAGCTGGCAACTTGTTTTCTACTTTCATTGGTCCATAGATGGAGAGGAGGCCAGGATGCGGTCTCATCCATACTGGATGATTTAACTTTTTGAGTTGGTACTAATTAGGAGAGATTTTGGATTTGTCGTTAATCCTGAAACAGGGTAAGACTTTAGGGAATTTGTCAGTAGGGGAATATATTTTGAGTACAAATCGTGAGGGACAAGAGAGCAGATAGTGAGTCTGTCCTTCCAAAATTCCTATCTACCAGAACTGGGATTGTGACCTTACTTCTAATAATAATCAAGGAAACACAAGATCATTTGAGATTAGCAACTGAATTCAAAGAGTGAATCTTTAAAAGGATAGATGAACACAGGAAGTGTGTGAAGAGAGTCAAAGACTGGAGTGATGAAGCTATAAGCCATGGGATGTCGAAGACCTGCAGGAAAACAGCAGAACTTAGGAGGAGGTGAACCCAGTCCTGCTGACACCTTGATTTTGGACCTCTGGCTTCCTGAACTATAAGACAATAAATATCTTTTGTTTTAAGCCACCTTCATTATGGCAGCCCTAGGACACTACTACAAGATGCCATTGCTTTTTTCTCGCTGTCTCATAGGCATAGGGTGGAGTTTTCCAAAGGCTATGTATTACTTTAATAAACTGTTGATTGATTTTTCAAATAAATTTAAATTTTTCCCAGTTTTAATTTATGTTGTTAAATCCTGATCAGTTTCACCCACATACACAGAAGTTCTTTGGGATTCTCAGTCATATTTAAGAATACAAAAGTAATCCTGGATCTGAAAACTACTGGCTTAATTATAAATTCCCAAGTCCAAAAGGGGTGCCTTGCGGCCGGGGATTTAGCTCAGCGGTTTGGGGATTTAGCTCAGCGGTTTGGTGGTCTGCCTTGGAAGCGCAAGGACCTGAGTTCAATCCCTGGTACCAAAAAAGAAAACAAAAACAAAAACAACAGGAGCGCCTTGGTGTTTGTGGTACAACATTTTGGAGAGTAAGATCAACTTTTATCTGCACAATGGAAACAGTGCTTGAATGAACAATCTTTAGAATGACAAATTAAGTTTAATTTTTCCCTCCGCTTAGGATTAATTGCCCTCTGCTTCCTTATCCATAAAGTAGGAAAATAAAATCTACTTTATAGGTAGCAGGACAATCAAATTTGTATTGTAGTTACTGAAAACAAATATTTTCATTCAGCCAAGCTAAGTTGTTTATTGATTTCTGGCTGTAAGAAACAAGGAACGAACATGGAGTCTGGGGTCTTAAATGTGAATAGTTAATAATCAAATTCCCATTTATTACTCACTGGACTTAATGTGGAGAAATATCACGAGATATGAAAACTCCAAGTGCAGCAGAAGAAATTGTAGACGTCCTCTGGACCATGGGATTTTCTTTTCCCTGAGGAAAACCTTTTGGTCGATTATCGTAATTGCTGCTTGTTAAAACTGGTAAAATACTTGTTAAGGAATATACCTTTCATGAGAAAAAATGATTTGTACATTCCAGCCCACAGAACATTTTAGAATCACAAAATCATATCGATAGCATTGTTAGGTCAATGTTAGGTGCTTTTTAAGACTTTTCTTTTTTTGGTAGTGGGGATCAAACTCAGGACCTTGTGCTTGCAAGGCTGGCATGGTGCCGCTGAGCTTGCAGATTCTACATACACAAGTGTAGGGGTCAGAGAACAAATACCAAGGTCTTCTCCCCAGTTTCCAATTCTCTCCTGTGACTGGCCTTTCTAACAAGAGCCATCACCATAATCAGGCCCCAAGCCTTGTCAACATCCAGATTTCATTCTGTTGGGGGTGGGAGAAGGACCCTGGGAAATGGGCTATGAACTATCATTGTTGACACTGGAAGTAGATAAAAGACGAAGTAAATTTTCCCCTATTTCTGCTTAATTGACAATTATCTCTAAGAGAAGCAACAGAAAATTTATTGCCATAAGTGCAGGATGACTTCATTTCTATAATCAGCAACAGTGATTTAAGAAGCCAGGAGCAGCGTTTAATAACTTTCTAGAAAGAGGGCAATAGGACTTGATTTAATTCTCAGAAAAAAACAAAACAAAATGAGCTCTTTGGTTAGTTTTCTTCCATCGTGATGGAAAAACACCTATTAAAGTTGTAATCCTCCTTAATGCTCTCTAAACCCCTTTCCTATTTTATATTCTTCATTGTATTTATTGCCATCATAGACTGTTTTATTTTGTGTGTTGTCTGTTCTCCCATGGGAGCATGAGTTACATAGTCAGGGATTTCTGCCTCCTGCTCATTGCTGTGTCCCCAGTGTTGAGAACAGCATCTGACAGAGGTACAAATGAAAGAATAAATGAGCAAATGAATACAACTCTATTTCTGTTGAAGTCAAACTTATCTAATACAAGTTCCCCTAGCTTTCTTCCATCTGAGAATGTCTCAATTCTCCAGCACCTTCATCCTCTCCTTTGCCAAGCTTAACTCTTCGGCTCCATTTTTAATTATTTTCTTGCCCTCTTTTGGATGCCGCAGCTCTAGTTCCACTCATTCACATGTACGCTTAATATTTTTCTTCTGCTCCATTCTTGTCAGCCTACAGACATACTCAGATTTACCCTAACCTGAATATCTCACCTTTATTCCATTGTATCCTTGAGGTACTGTGTTCTTTTCTTTAATAAAATTCTTGAAAGATTGTCAATATCCGATGTTTATGCCTTCTGAACATCAGTCATTCTTTATCTTTTACAATTTAGTTTTTGTCCCAAGCAAATCTATCTTAAACTCTGAATTTAATTTTGTCACATCTACAGCATAATTCCACTGTGTCCATCTTTTTCTAGAAACCCTTTACATGGTTTAGAAGGTATTTCATGATTTTTCATTGTTTGATCTGTCTCCATTGGTTCTTCCTCTTCCTGTGGCCTAAACAGACACCAAATTCCTGCTCCGGTCCTGAACATTCAACTGTCATCTCCATGGAGAGGTTGAATACGGCCATTCTATCTCCAGTTCTCACTTCTCAACTGAGATCTAGTCCTACATATCAATGATTCATTACCAGAACCTGAAACCTAGGAGTCCAACTTTCATTCTTTCTGTAAATGGATGCCACTTTGGATTTTGCAGTTTCCTCCCTACCCCCACATACATCACCCATGTTCCTCACTCACATCTACTGTTGCTACGCTGTAGTTCTTGTCCTCATACTTGGCCACTGAAGTAGACTTCCAGCGATTCTTTTACTCATCCAGTTCTTCATCATATCCTGCGCAATAACATTGGATTCATTTGTATGGAGAGATGCTGGTCATGTTACCCACGGGACCAGCAATCTTCAATGGTTCACTGTTGCTTCAATTATAAATTATAGGCCAAGGACTCAAGAGTTTCTATAACATGACTCCAACCCACTTTCTCACCATATTTCTAATGTTCCTTAAGCACTCAGCAAATTGAATTCCCTGTTAATGTTTCCAAGTAACAGAACTTTCCTTTTGCCATGGTTTTGTTCATCTTTTGTACTTGACGTTCCCTTTCATCAACAGTTTTCTCATTCTATAAGGCCCATTTTAAAAATAAAATAGATATATAATATAAGTGGTATGTAATTCATGTCACCAAAAGAGAAAGAAACACTACAGGCTTCAAATGCAAAGGTTTTACTTCCGGATTGTAGGCTTATATAATGTATGGTACTGTAGGATTCAACTTTCCATTTGTATATGTGATAAAATATTTTGCATGATATTTTGCAAATAATGAGTATTGGATAGCTACATGATATTTATAGGCTACAGCTACTTATATGAAGGAATGCATGTATAATTTACTGAATATTCAACTTCTATAATAAGTTATCTCCCATCTCCCAATAAGATTACATTTCTAAAAATGACAGTCTTGCTTTTTTATTATTCTGATCATCTAATACCCCATAGTTAATAATATTGCCATATATTTAGCTTGTAAGTTACTGTTAATGTACCATGTGTCAGATACCTTTCAGATTTGACTGGATTCTAAATGAACGACAGTCTTCATCCTAAGAAATTTAGCTCATGATTTTTATATGCAGAACTGATGAATACACAGAGGTGCATTTTGGCTTCTCCCACGTGCTCCTCACTCATAATTTATGCACTATGTATGAGTACTCAAAGTGAACTTGAAAGGATATTGGCTTCCACGGGTAAGAACAAAACATCATGTTCGGTCATTATCTCAATATTATGAGAGACGTGAGCTAATCCCTTGACACCGCCCTCTCCAAGAGCCATGGCGAATAACTCCACCTTTAGCTCCGTCTGCAAACCAGCTGCCACCTGTAAGACACAATCACTTTAGCATCACACATAACGTGAGTTCAATTTTTTTTTTTTTTTTTTTTTTTTTTTTTTTTGGTACTGGGGACTTGTGCTTGCAAGGCAGGGGGCAGAACCACTGAGCTAAATCCACGGCCCTCAAATCTCGATTTTAACACTTGGGCAAGTTATTTAAACTCTTCAGAGTTTTCACCTATAAAATTGGCACTAATAAAGGGTAGCTGATATAATTGGGACTCAGGATAAACTTTTTTTTTTTTTTTTTTGTACCTGGGATGGAACTCGGGTCTTTGAGCCTGTGGGGCAGGTGGCAGCATCACTGAGCTAAATCCCTGGCCCCAAGGATAAACTTTGGAAGAGGTAAATCAGCTGATATTTGAGAAACAGAGGGAAATGCCAGCGTATTCAAAGAGGCGTTGCAGACAAACTTCTACTATACCGATAATTGTGCTATTTCTCAAATGTCAGTAGCGCAGTAGTGAAATTCCATCTATTTGGCATTCGTGAAGATGAATTTAAGAGAAATATAATTTAACGTTATAACAAATCCAAGGGTCTGCTTGAATCCGGGAACTTCCCTGCCCTCCTCCTTGGTCTGTGTTACTCCAGTTCAGGATGTGTAAAGTGACAAAGCCAGTAGAGGGAGACAGAATTAATTTTAATGCCAGCCAGCTGAGGTCTGAAAGCCATGGGAAGAAACTTGTACCAACAAAGAAGAAACCTGATACATAATGAAGAGGAAATACAGCAAGGCAGGGCCTTTTTGCCTTGTTCCTTGAAAAGAAAACTAGCCAGGAAAGAAAGAGTTGTTTTTGTTCCTAAGCTGTCTCTCCAGGAGGTGGGTTACAAAGCAGAGTTGGGAACAGTTATCTGGAAACAAAAATAAATCAGAAACTACCACATGGAAAGCAATTAGATACAAATGGAATTTTTTCAATGTAGTTTTATAAATAATAGAACTGAAAAAAGTTTCCAGTTTTTCAGCTCTGTGCATGCATGCATGCATCCTGGAGGGGATCCAACATTTCTGTTCTGAGCCTCAGACCCTTCAGTCCTCCAAACCCGACAATCAAAACAGGGCTGGGCGATGACGACAGTGGGCATGAGGAGAGCTGGAAAGCTGCCATAGTGCAGATTTGCTCAGGCTTTGAGCGTATTCATTTAGTGCTGGCAACTCACCAAGCTGCACTGTGGTCAGATTTACATATGGAGAAGTCTATATATTATTTTTTTTTGCCAGAGCCAAAGCCTACTGTCAAAGAGAGAGAGAGAGAGAGAGAGAGAGAGAGAGAGAGAGAGAGAGAAACAGAAAAAAACACCTAACAATATATGGCGAACTTCAAAGAGTACACACTGGGTTTTTAGTACTTCTAAAGGTTGATCCAACAGTCATTTCAGCTATTGGCACAATCTCTACTTGACATTAAAATGAGATTTACTGACTTCCCAGATTAGTGGAAGAAAGCACTTGCTTTGATTTTCGGTTTTGCTTTATGTTGTGAAGATTCTGAAATCTTCACATAGTACAGTGATAAATTATTTCAGAGAGTTACCCATAAATTAGTTGATATAATCGCAACATGTATTTGTGTTTCGTCTTTCAGCTCACATACTACTGTTCTTCTGTAGATCATGAAATATTAGAGCTAGGAGGGGCTAAAATTATTTAGTCTAAACTCCATTTACAGATGAGGAAAGCAAGGCTCACGGCATTAACCATCAACATCCTTGAGCTGCTTGGTGGCAGAGTCGTGACAAAAGCCAAAAGACTTTGTGCTGTACAAAACTGACCCTTCTGTGTACATAACGGCTGTGTCTGCTTTGGAGTTTCAGAGGCAGGGAACACTGTGATTGTTACAGGACCACACACCTCTGCCGGCTGCTCTCATGAGCCTGTGCATATCTCCTGTGTGTGACGAGTGGGTCCTGTATCTATTCCATCCTGTTTTGCTGTCACACATATCTTGAGTACCTGCTATGTATCTGGCTCTGTAAGCTCCCTGTGTCTTGCTCTGCATTTGATCAGGGCTTATGAGAAGTTGGCTGAATGAGATGAAGGGAGTACTAAAGTAGCCAGAGAATATGCTGAACAAGACTTCTAAGTGTGATTTTGTTATATTTTGAGATAAACTTCTGTTCACATTATTCTGTGTTTCTGAAATTATAATTACAAATGGGAGTATAGAATTAATATACTTTTTTTTGCCAAACATTTTAGCAATATATCAAATAGTCAGGTCACATTGATAATTTTAAATGTGTGTTTTCGAGATCAGTGGAGAAAAGCAGCTGATAATTTTAATAAATTTAATACAATTTAACAAATTTCTTAGTATATGGGATTAAATAATATCTGACAAATACCAAGATAGCAAACCAGATTTACAAAAAATATACAAAATGGAATAATTACGTTTTTCTGAAACTTTTTTTGCCTTGCAGAAGAATTTGTTTAAAAATAATTTTCAGACATATGTACTGGAGCAAGGGAGGTGAGCTGCAAAAATATTTCTATAACCAGAAGTTAAACAGTTTGCACTTAGGGTCATTGCCACAGTTCTTACAGGAAATGAGTGACATCAAGCCACATACTGCACCAATACTGGGAATCTTTTTCTTATGATACTTAAACTGAATGGGCTGAATGATTCAAAAACTCACTTTACTGGAAACTTATACATTCACACACATGACCCAGATAAGACATAGGACTTACAGGCCCAGGTTTGTAAGACACTTTTAGTCCAGTGCTAGGTGGGGGCTGCTTTACTCTAAATCTGTCAGGAAGAAAGACAGAAATTAATTTATGGCACAGTAAAAACACATGAGCAACTCATCAGGATGTTATAAAATCAGAAAAGTGTTAATGTTTGCTGCATAGGAGCCAGGTGTCCATACCCTTGGAAAACAATGCTAATATTCAGTTGGGAAAAGAATTCAGGGCACATTTCATAACTTCCTTTCCAACAGTTTTCATCAACACAAAACAGACCCCAACCTGTGTTTCCACCCTCTGTTGTTGGCTGCTGAGGACCAGCTCAGGCCTGGACACTTGTGTGCATTTGGTCAGTGTGTGCATTTCAGAAAGCCACCAGTGTTAGTGCAAATGCTGACAGCCAGATCATTAACCTGAAGAATAAAAGCTCTCTTGGAAGGCAATGGAGCATGGGAGCCAGTCTTACTCTGTCTGGGTATGGGGTTTGCATGTTTGGGGAGAAACAGAAAGGGCTTAGAAAATGTTGAAGAACTTGAAAAGCTCTGTACTCACACATGGTGCTTGTTGATCTCTTTCCCTTCCTGCGGCTTGTGGATTGTGCCCGAGGGTTAGGGATTGGAGTAAATTAAAATGCCAAGGAGATCCTACCTCCACACTGACCCCAACTGCACTCCTGCTATCAACTCTGCTGTCTCCCCATTATGCCTGGATTTAACAAGCTATAGAGTAAAATCTCTAAAACTACAATTCTATACTGGAGAGAGAGAGGAGGATCTGCATAGATGAGTTGTATCAATTTGAGTTGTATTAATTATTTCTTCTCATGCACTTGTTTTAAGAACACAAGAATACTGCACCAATGAAAATCCAATCATATCTGACCTGCTTGCCTGAGTCCCTTAGTGGGTTGTTTCTTGGGAAACAAGCACTATTCTTGAAGTGAGGGTTTTGCTGCAAGTAAAAGGTGACAATGATCTTTCAAATTGGATGATCCTGTCATTCTGTTCCATCTGCTTTCTGAGTAGAGAATCACAATTATCTTTAAAGGGTTGACATTATGATAAAAATAACTCTGCAACTGAAATATTTATTCCATTTTGCCCCACCCCCCATGCCTGTTATATTTAAGTTTAATTCAAAATAGAGGGCATTTTTTTTTGTAATTGGGAGTGGTCTTGGTATATGTGGTATAATAGTGACCCAGGGGAAAAGACTGAAGTCCCATGTAAAATTGATCACTATACTTGCGTTGGGAAGACACCAATGACCTGGTGCTCAGGAAGTCTGAAGTCTCATCTCACGATAGCCTGTAAGACCCTAATGCAAATCACTTAGTTTCTTCCTGTGGAATAGTCTTTAAAGTTCCTGCAAATTCTAACATGCCACTGGTTTTGACCTGAAAATGCCAGCTAAAGTAGATTTTCAGCTGTCTGTACAGACTGTGAATTAGGTTATTTAGATATCAATTCTAAGTCAGACCTTCATAGCAAAAATGACCCTGCTGACTCAGGTTTTTCCCTTTTCCCTCAGTTATGCAGAAAAATTAATTAAAAGCACTTTCAAAAGTCAAAGACTTCAAATGGTAGGAAGAGAAAAAGCATCAAGCACATATAAAGGGATCCCTATTAGGCTATCACCAGATTTCTCAGCAGACACCTGCAGAACAACAAAAAAGGGATGACATATTCAAACTGATGAAAGAAAAAAAATCTTCCAGTTAAGAATATACACAGAAAAGCTGTCCCTCTGAAATAATAGACATAAAGTGTTTTATAAGTAAAAGTTGAAGGCATTCACAATCACTACATCTGTCTAAAAAATTGCATAGGGAATTTCTCTGAGCAGACACAAAAGGAATATATATGTAACTATATAACTTGCTGGTGGAGGTAAATATATAGCTAAATTCAGAATACTCCAATACTGTAATGGACATGTATAAATCATACATAGTAAGATGGGTATCAAGTAAAAATCTGTTGAAAAAGAAAGTTACTATTTAATGCTAAACGGGTCAACTCATCAAGAGGACATAAATAAACCAGGCATGGTGGTGTAACTCTGTAATCTCAGCACTCAGAAAGCTGAGGCAGGAAGATCACAAGTTTGAGGCCAACCTAAACCACACAATGAATTCAAGGGTGGCCTGGACTATTTAGTCAGACTCTCCCACCATCAAAAAGAAAGAAAAGAAAAGAAAATAGAAGGAGGAGGAGGAAGAGGAGGGGGAGAGGAAATAAACATTGTAACACACATGCATCTAACATTGGAACACCAAAATACATAAAAAAATTATTAAACATGAAGTGCAAAATACTCAGTGCCATGATACTGGTTGGGGAATACAGTATCCCACTTTCTGCAATGGATAGATCAAACAGAAAGAAAATTAGTAAAGAAATACTGGATTTCAACTTTTGACCAAAGAGACATAATGGACATTGACAGAACCTTCTATCGAGCAACTGATGTGTCAGTCAGCTTTTTATTGCTATAACTAATACCGGACACACAAAGGCGTCTATTTTGTTTCATGGTTTAAAAGGTTTCAGTCTATGGTTAGCTGTCTCCAAGGCAGAAACATCGTAGCAGAACAGCATGACAGAGAAAAGATGCTTAACCTGTGGCAGCCAGGAAGCACAGTGAGAGGTAAAGAGCTAGAAAAGGAAGAGGCCAGGACAAGAACACATCCTTGCAGCTGTACATATCGTGGCCCGTTTCCCAACAGCACATTGAGCTGTGAACTTATCAATGGGTTAACTTGAGGATAGTGGCCCCATAATCTAATCACCTTCTGAAAACCCCCTCTCTGAACACATGAGACTTTGGGGGGATAGTTCGATCTAAACCATAACAACAAATAAATACAAAATTTTCTCCAACATATACGGAACATTCTCCATGATGGAACATATATCAGACGAAAAAATAAGTCCCAGTAAATTTGAGAAGATTGAAATAATATCTAGTATTGTTTCAGACCACAGTGATGTGTAAAACAAATCAATGACAGGAGGAACCTTGAAGATTTTACAAATATGTACAAATTCAAAACCTGGCTCTGTATGAATGGGCTGAAGAGAAAAAAAATCAAAGGAAGAGTTAGAAAATATCTTGAGACAAATGAGAATGGAAACACAACCTGTGAGGTGCAGAAAAAGTTCTAAGGTGGGTGTTTATTGCAAAAAATGCTTATATTGAAAAAGAAGAAAAATATATATTCTAATACTACATATCAAGGGACAAAAAAGAACAACTAAACCTAAATCACAGAAAGAAGGAAATAATAAAAATCAAAGCAGAAAGAGTGAAAATAAAGAACAACAATAACAAAGTACAAGGAATCAATACAATTAAAAGTACTTTTTTTTTTTTTAAATGGTACCGAGGATCGAATTTGGGCTCTTGAGCTTGCAAGACAGGCGGCCAAACCACTGAACTAAATCCCCGACCCGAATTAAAAGTACTTTTTGAAAAAAATAAAATTGACAAACTCTCAGCTAGTCAAAAAAGAAAAAAAGAAAAAAAAGAACCAAAGAAGTTAAAAGAGGTGTCTAAGAAAAAAAAAAAGGATCATAATGGACTATTATGAACTATATATCAACAAAATGGATAATTTATAGGAATTGATGAGTAAAATCCTAGAAAAATGCAACCTATAAAGATTGAATCAGCAAGAAACAGAATGTTTGAACAGATGAAAAATAAAGAGATTGAATAAATATTCAGAAACCTGTCAATGAGGAAAAGCCCAGGTGTTCACCAGAACACTAATATAATATTTCTTAAACTGTTCGAGGAAAAAAGAGCTAGATCAAATATTTCTAAACATATTTAGAGATCACTGTCTTCTTGATAATTAAGCCACAAATAGATATCACAAGAAAACCACAGGCAAATTTATCTGATTAAAATTGTTACAAGAATCTTCAGTAAAATGTTAGCAAGCTGAATCCAGCAGCAAATCAATAATATATTAGGGTCCAAATATGATTTATCTCTGACATGTGAGGCTGATTTCACATACACAAATCAATTAAAATGATACATCACATCAAAATGGGATTTAAAAGCGATTGTCTCAATTAACACAAAGCATTCAACAAAGTCTAACGCCCTTTACTAATTAAAAACTCTAGACAGTATAGGTATAAAAGGAAAGTTCTTCAGTGAAATAAAGAGCATTTATAAAAATCTACAGGTCAAATTGTAGATGGGGAAAAACTTCCACTGAAATCCTGTACAAGGTATTGATGCTCACTGTCACCATCGCTACTCAGCATAGCAAAACTTTTTTTTTTT